GCATGTGTGTGTCCCAGGGCTGAAGTCCAAAGCCCCAGCAGACACCTCCTGCAGGGCTGAAGCCCATAGACCAGCAGTTCTCAACCCAGGGGCCACATACATCCCAATTAGCACACAGCTGGCAGGGGGTGGGGCTGGCTGAGTAGGAGAGAGCATAAAGCAGCCTGCAGAATGGCTCCTGCCAGCAGGGGGCTGATGAGTGCACAGGAGTTAGGAGAGTCTATCTTGGCAAGCTTTGGGGGAGTTCTGGGAAGGTTTGGGGGAGCACTGAGAGCAGAACCCCCAGGTTTTAGGTGAGGTTCTGCTCCTACCCCAACACCTTGGGTCCTGGCTGCCAGAACATGCCTGACATTCCACTTCTGGCCTGGTGGCGGGGGTTCTAGCTACACTGCAGGACTCACCTCCCAGCTGCCCAGTCCTGCACCCTGGATACCAAGGTTAAAGTCTACTGCAGCTGTTCGGCCCCACACAACAGGAGATGCTGGGGTCCAGGTCTGTTGCCCCCTGCCCAAAACTGCTTACCAAGATTGGGTCAACTGGCAGGTGCTGCAGTCTGAGTCTAGCTTCTGATGGCAAGGTTCAGCTGGCAGGGTCTGGTCCCGTGCTGGAGGATCTCTGGTCTGGCTGTACAGCCCAGTAGAGTGGATCTAGATCCCAGCTGCCCAGCCCTGCACTCAGGACTCCACTTCTGGACCTGCTCTGTGAAGGGGTCTTTAGGCAGGAGGGGGCACAGAAGACTATGGGGTAGTTGAAAGGGTATGGTGAGTCTCAACCTGCAGCCCACATAACACTGTGGGCTGCATGTACGGTCCACAATGATAAATAGGTTGAGAACCACTGCTCTAGACCCCTGTTCCTGCTGGTCAGAAGCTTTTAGCCCCACCACCCTGCCACAGGCAGAAGCTCTAAGCCCCTCCTCCTCTCTCCACCTAGTCTGGTAGGCAGAGAATGAGGGAGACATGAGGTACCTTGTGATCCATACCTTCACTGTGTAAGAGCCATGTCAGGCTTGAGAGCCATGGTTTGGCCATTCCTATCATAGTTTATCCATTTATTAGAATTCTGCACCAGGTAGTTTTAGTGCGATAGAATCTACCCAAAGCTACATAGGCTGCAGAAGCTACAGCTGCTGGTTGTCTTTCAAACCAGGCTGTTGAGGTTAGCCTTCTGCATGTCACCACTAAGGTTGTTAAATTGCGGTTATCTAACTAATTGTGTAGTTGATACAATTTGTATCGATTACACAACTAGTTGATAAAGACCTCTATGCAAACCTGCAGTGGGGGGTAGCCCCAGGACCTGGCTCAAGCTGAGACTGAGCAGTCCCGGTTCGTGCAGACTCCAGGAGCCTTCTGCACCGTAGCTCTGAATTTTAAATGTAGTAAGAGCCACTTGGCTCTTACTACATTTAAAATGCAGAGGCGCAGTGTCCCAGACCAGTGCGAGCCAGGACTGCTTGGTCCTGGCTACCAGAGCAGCCCTTGCATGCAGCCAGCCCAGACCACCACAAACAGAGGTTGCTTGGCAGCAACACCCCCTATCTGCAGGGGGTCCAGCTCCCCACTGGAACCCCCATGAACAGGGGCTGCTGCCAGAGCAGACTCGTAGCAGCTTCCCCTATCCCCTCCCGCTGCCTCTGATAGAGGCAGCAGAGTGGGGCGGGTGGCACCACAGAGACAGTACTGTGGGGAACCAGCTTTTAAGCCAGCTCTCTCCAGCACTGGCTCTTAGAGGCAGCAAAGGAGGAGGGGAGTAAGTGAGTAGTCAATACTCTAGTCTACTACCTGCTTAGCTTTTGCTTATCTTCAGAGACTGGACTTAATGGAACCAAATTGGGATGTCATTCATGAGAATAAAATGGATTTGTCCTATTCAAGTTAAAGTCTATTCGATGTATTTTGGTATTTTTGTAAGAACAATTATGTAATGCCAAGTATTTTAATTTTGCATTTCAGCTTCAGAGAAGAAATTGCCAAATTTCTCACCGAGTATGCCAAAGCTCCAAAAGCACTGAATCCTGAGCATGTAAGAAATGAGTGCTTTATCTCTGTATCTTGCTTTTTTTTAGCTGTAGATATTTTCTGTACAGATTTGCTTATGTTTTAAAAGTATTATAAACGCATTTCCAGATGTCCTATCACATTTTAAATGTTCAAGATTGCATACAAAACATGAAAAAAGTTACAAAGCCACTTAGTATGAAGAACTTATGCTGTTGTTCTTTGGCCCTTAATTGATTTTAAATCCATGAAATGTACTGCCCATGTGATCCAGATTTATGCTAGAGAGAGGAGCTACAGTTTGGTTGTGAAGGGGTTAGGGAGTCATCAGGGACATCCTTAAGTTTTATTGAGCCCTATACCCAACAACAGCTGGGGGGGATATGATTTTTATATTCTTCAGCAACACACTACTGTATTAGTCTACAGGTCCTTAGTTTAAAATATTTAATAGAAGTCAGAAACTGACAGTATATACCTGGGGCTGGCAAATGCCTGTTAAATGGCTTCATTACCGCTTGAATGGATCTTTTACAAATTCAGTGGTCTGATAACAGGTCGGGTAGGCTTTTTCACTTTTAAGTTAAATAGATCCTCCCTGGCAGAAGCAAAGCCACAGAACAAGTCTAGGAAGAGATGGGTGGGTGGACATTAAGACCCAATGGTGCCCCATTTTCAGGTGCTCTAAGTAGCTGTGTATTCTGCTTCTGGGTAAGGAGGGCCCTAGGAGTTATATCTGTGTTCCTCCCTCCCACTTTACTGCCGTAGGAAAAACTATGTGTGGAGACAATGAATAGAGGAGAAGGGAAGTAGTTATTTCTCCCAAAATAATTTGAATAGGTTCTGAATGTAAAGTAATAGTTTGTGTACTTGTGTATAACAAAATTAGCACTACAGTTCTGACAGTGGTTGTTACAAAAACTCTCATTTACTTCACCTGGGAGTGGCATATGCTCAATAACAAGATACAACTGATAAAAGCTTCATTTACTTCAGGACTCTGATATTATAGGCAATGGTATATCAAGACTTTCCTATCTGCCTCTGGATTGTAGGTGTGTAGCACACTTGAAACTTCTTGAAACTTCAGTTAATGTGCCCCCAGCTGCTGGGAGATAGAGGTGAAGATACAGAAAACTTTCTCATACCCACCACCACTCTTTATCTTGAACCTTTGGACTGTTGGAAAGGGGGCATTATTGCAGGACTGCTCATTTCAGGGGGAAAAAATCCTTCCCAAACTGTGGTTATATGTCTTTCCACTAAACCCAGTGTTAGGACTCAGTGCTGCCACTCATGTGTGATGTGCTCGCAGGTTCAATTTAGAAGGCTGACTTTTTAACCAATAGGAGTGCATACCACCTTTTTATTAAAAATTATAAATAAATAAAACTATTATAAACTTGAAATGAATTAGCAGTAGCAGTGAAATGCATTAAAAAACTTTAACAGTAGCAGAATGATCAATTTGGATATTGTATAATGCACTAGTTTGCAAGTCAGACTCTTGCTTTACAACAGTGATTGCTTTTTATAAAGTTCTGATCTTGAATATACTCTACTTTTCTAAGTATTGCCTTCTAAATAGTCACAAAGATGTTTGCAGTTCTGCTAATATAATTTTGTCTGCTTGTTTCAGATAGTTGTTATGAGTGGCTGTTGTGCTGTCTTTGCTACCCTTTCAACTGTATTATGTGATCCTGGAGGTAAGCTTAAAAGTAAATATTCTTAATGTGAAAGCATTATATATAGAGAGAAGTGTCATCCATAGTGGTCATAGCCTTTGTATTTATCTTATAAGTGATAAGACATCTATCCATGGCTCTAGGTGCCCTGACATTAATTGCAAAAAATCCCCTCAGCATTAAAATAATCCTTCCAATAGGAATCCAACTAGCCACCTACAGAGATTCATTTTCACTGTTTCATTATTATAGGTAGCATATCCATAGTCCTCTCTAAAATCCATGTCAAAGATCTTTCAGTATGTCTGAAAAGTCACCAAATGTGGGCTCTTTTAGATAATGGGAGGGAGCAAATTCCAGAGTCTGAGCCCTCATAGTGAACACCCTGCCAGCCTCCTCCCATCTACTACAGTGAGCATGTCCCTTTTGATTGCTCTGCTGACCACAGCTGTGGCAATATGGCAAGGAGAGAGAGGGTATCCCTTAGGCAGGCACTTCCCGTTTGCTTGGCACAGCATCCTTGCTTTAAGTTAGGATAAAAGGGAGCTGGATACCATTTAGTAGGAGTTCTTGAACAAACAGACAGACATTTCTAAAATATCTGGATAGGTGAGGTTGGTCACTAGTTGATTTGACAAACTGTTGGCAAATATATAGCACAAGAACAAGAAATTGCCCTGCTTTAAGTGGATCATTAGCAGATGGTTAATAATAAATGAGATGACATGAGAGAAAATAAGATGAACAGTTCAGTCATAGAAAATTATCAAAATAACCATATTTTAGAAAGATCTTGTGTATCTTAAAAATAATGTATTTGACCCACTGCTGTTTAAGGAGGCAAGGTAACAGTTAATAGGTTTTTTATAAATCAGTGATGCTTCACACTAAGAGATGCTGAGGACACAAGATACCATGAACATCTGATTGACTTATGTCATGTAATATGTACCAATCACATTTTGGTACTAACAGATTAATAGAGATGCTTGCTAAGCGGTACTTGCTAATGGCTACCTTCCTCAAATTCACGATCATTCACAATACAATGAGACATCTTGAGAAGTTGTGAAGATTCTTGAAAAGTTGTGTAATCCTAGAAATGTACAATTGGTCAAAGTCTGACAATGAAATGATGAAGATTTCCTAGTCAGAGTAATGTATGACAAGAATGTTTTTATCCTTGTTGATATTTTACTATTTCTGTTCATGGCTGCCTGGGATTAAGTTATTTTATGCTGTACTGAGGAGTCTGCTATATAAATAGGTATAAAAGATGTAAACTTTGCGGCCAAGCACTGTTGCTTAATGTTCTGAAATTGAAAATATAACATTCATACATTGTTAAAAGAAAATGCGGTATACAATTTAATCAAAATGGCGAGGGTTTCTTCTAGACTTTAGAATCATAGAGCTGGAAGAGGCCTCAGGAGGTCATCAAGTCCAGCCCCCTGCCCAAGGCAGGACCAATCCCAACTAAATCAACCCAGCCAAGACTTTGTCAAGCTGAGACTTAAAAACCTCTAGGGATGGAGATTCCACCACCTACCTAGGTAACCCATTCCAATACTTCACCACCCTCCTAGTGAAATAGCTTTTCCTAATATCCAACCTAGACCTCTCCCACTGTATCTTGAGACCATTGCTCCTTGTTCTGCCATCCGTCACTACTGTGAACAGCCTTTCTCCATCCTCTTTGGAACCTCTCTTCAGAAAGTTGAAGGCTTCTATCAAATTTCCCCTCACTCTTCTCTTCTGCCGACTAAACAAACCCAAATCTCTCAATCTCTCCTCATAGATCATGCGCTGCAGCCCCCTAATCATTTTCCTCGCCATCCGCTAGAGCCTCTCCAATGCGTCCACATCCTTTCTGTAGTGGGGGGGCGCAGAACTGGACACAATATTCCACTTTGTTTACATGAATCACAACAACATTGACTGCAAATAATATAGATATACATTAAATAATGATATGGATATCATACTGGAAATACTGCAGTGCATACGAATAAGTAGGATGCAAGGAAGAGAAGTTCTGCTTAAACCATTGCAATGCCTAAACGAGGATGGAGAAAGTCAGGGGTGAATGCAAATCTTGCTGTCAAGCTTTTGGCCAGGTGTAATCAATGGCTGTAAAATTCTGAGTATTGAACATCATTACAGGAATAAAAGCTTAAATAGTAAGGGAGCATCATGGAAAAAGCTACCTTAAGAGAAGGAAAAGCAAGAGCATCCATTTGAAAAAGAAATGACATCTGGCAATATACAACTGGGTACCACAGTGAATGGTGCAGTATAAAAACCTATATACTGTGTAAAAGATCAAATAGGCATTATAACATGCAGGATGGTGGCAGCTCCCTTGAATACAACAGAGAAGAAATAATTAAGATTCACAGCATTTACCTGAAGAAAAGATGGCCACAGTTTAACATGAACAAAATAGCAAATTAAGAAAACAGTAATCCATATGCTAGTTTTGATATTAAACATTAGGTCACTTTCAATTCATGCTTCATAAGTGGTTGTCAAAATAAATATTGAACTAAAAATGCAAAGAAAGCAAAATCTCTCAGCAAATGGATCTAATTGCTTTATGCTAGGTATCAGCAGTCTTTCACTTTAGATGGCAAAATAGATGGTGAGAGTAGATTGGATATACATGCGGTCCCCAGTATACCTCTCCCCTTTATCCATTGTTTCATGTATCATTCATTAATAGGGGAACATGTTTCAATTCACATTGGTCCCGACCCTCATATTTGTTGTAAAGCAAGTAAGTTGCAAACCTTTTGCGTTGCTTTTCTGTGGGTGCTTAGCAGTGCCCCACAGCACATCCCATCCTGCGGTGTGGGCCACCAATCACCTTCTTCCCCACCCTCCCAGAACCTCCTGCTCACCTCTGAACAGCTTCAGCAATGTGCAGGAGGCGCTGGGAGGGAAGAGAAGGTGGGACAGGGTGCAGTTGGAGGAGGGGCATTGTCATTGGCGAGTGTGGGGATGTTGTGAACACTCCCCCCCCGCCCATTCCATTATTTCTTATGTGGAAAAATTCTCCAATGTTTGGTGTTCGGTATCTGTAGCACTTTTCAAGAACACAACCCAGACATATGGCAGTGACCTGTAGATCTCAATTTTGTTAATATAGAGTAAAGTAATTGATAATGGTAATGTTTAATATTGCCTCTTATATGCATTTTTGGTTTAGATGGGTACCTTATTCCTACTCCATATTATGGTGGAATAAATTCGAAAACCTGGCTGTATGGTGGAATACAACCTGTCCATGTACCCTTGTATAGTGAGGTAAAACTTCACTTTATTAAAGACTGTATTCTATGTACGCACAAAAATGTGTTTAAGAATTTGAATGACAGCTTCACAGGGTGCATCAAAGCAAAAAAGGACCACAGATTAAAGCAGGCACAGACTCAAACCAGCCTGTCATCTTTTGATGCTTGGGGTAGTGTTGTAACCATGTTGGTTCAGGATATTCGAAAAAGTGGCTGAGGTCTTATCTTTTATTGAGCCAGCTTGTGTTGGTAAACCAGACAAACTTTTGAGCTTACACATAGTTCTTCCTCAGTTCTGGACTCTGTGTAAACTCAAAAGTTTATCTCTTTCACCAGCAGAACTTGGTCCAATAAAAGATACGACCTCACCCACTTAGTCTCTTCTTTAGAGGAAGACTGTTTTGTCCAGGTTGCAGCATATTGGCAGAATGGTGAGAGAAACTCTGCTCTTCAGCTATCTATTGTATCTGCTCTGTTTACATGCAGAAAAAGTTCTGAAGAACTGGCAGTCTGCCTTTCACAAGCATTACATTCATCTTATAACTTTTTTCTCTAGCCCTGGAATATGCATCTCTGTCTGTCAAAGTGTACATTTTAATTCATTTGGAAGATGAAAATAGCTTAACATTTAAAAACAAAATTATTGATATGTGGACAGGATTATTCTTGGTTATGAATTTGGATCTCGATCTTGGTTTTGTTCTTGTTAGCTTGTTTTTCCTCTTCCTTACTTACATCATTGTTTTTGAAAACTTGCTTTGCGTATCCTATTTTGCAGTTATATTTAGGGTAGGGGTCAGCAACCTTCAAAGAAGAGTCATCTTTTTGTTTTTGTCTTTGAGTGAAATCTATCAAGAGCTTTATCATATGCAAAGCTCCGGGCTGGTTCAGGAGATTGGGATGCAGGAAAGGGAGTGGACTCTGGGAGAGTTTGGGTGTAGGAGGAGGTTCTGACCTGGGGCAGGGAGTTGGGTGCAAGGCGGAGGCACTTACCACAAGTGACTCCCGGTTGTCAGTGCAGCCAAGCTCAAACAAGCTGCCTGCATGCTGTGGCCCATGCACTCCTGGAAGCAGCTGACTGCTGGCATGTGTTAGTGTGCCCCAGGGGGAGATAGCATGCCTATGCTCACAAGCTCCACTTGAGCAGCTCTCCTTGCCAAGAACCAGCCAATTGGAGCCCGGAGGGCGGTGCTGGAGTTAGGGGGAAGGTGGACAGAGACATGCCAGCAGTCAGCTGCTTCTTTGAGTGGCATGAAAACACAGCATATAGGCAGCCTGTCTGAGCCCTTGCTGCACAGCTGAAGTTTGTTTTTTCAGAAATTCTTTGTTTTCTGGAAGGGGAAAGAAAAAGAGGGTAGCCAAAGAGCCACATGCAGCTCCAGAACTGCAGGTTGCTGATCCCTGGCTTAGCATATGTTTATGCTACAATTAGACAGTCACAAAGGTTCACTGCTCATCTGGCAGGACTGTTTCATTGAAGTGTGAGGGTTTGTGGTCAGGTTGCAGCCTAAACTCTAGGACCTTACATCTCGCAGTGTTTTGGAATCTGGGATGCATCTTAAATCTGAATGTTTACACAGTAGTTACACAGCCCCACAAGCCCGAGTCAGCAGGTATGGGTCAGCTTGGGGTTTATCCTTGGCATGTATGGCTATGTCTAAACTACATTCCTCTGTTGAAAAGGAATGTAAATGAGGCAAATCAAAAGTGCGAATGAAACGCAGATTTAAATATCCCATGCTTCATTTGCATATTCACGTCTGACTGCTTTTTTGAAACTGGGTTTTTCGAAAGGGAAAGCACAGTGTAGATGGGGTTCTTTCAAGGGGAAAAAACCCTTTTTTGAAAGAACCTGCACTCCTGAAAAAATGAGGAGTATGGGTTCTTTCGAAAAAGGTTTTTTTTTCGTAAGAACCCCATCTAGACTGCGCTTTAAATTTTGAAAAACCCTTTTTTGAAAAAGCGCTTGGATACGAATATGCAAATAAACCATGGGATATTTAAATCCGCACTTCATTTGCACTTTTGATTTGCCTCATTTACATTCCTCTTTCGACAGAGGAATGTAGTTTAGACATAGCCTCAGGGATCAGCAGTAACTGTTCAGATATTGCATTCTTCCAGAAATAACTTCTGCCAATAGTTATCAGATATATCCTGCTCTTCTTTAAAGCTCTCTTCCATTTAGAGGGGTTATTTCAAAAACTTCAACTACTATGATGTTTTATTATTTGGAAGCGATGGCTTAACTGTTTGTTGGTTTTGTCTTGCACAGGTGACTGATGAAGAAAGTCACCCTTTTCAATTAACAGTTGAAAAACTGGAGGCTGCCCTACAGAGAGCAAAAGAACAGGTAGGAATGATAAACTGCTCTCCAGCTGGGTGTGTGTTATCCAAGTAGTGTTAATAACTCAGTTTTGCCCAACATTAGAATGTTATTTTATCTGGCTTAACGCCCAATTGCTTGAAATCTTACAAAAGTCTAAATTCATTAACTATTACAGGCATGTGCACAACTCTGGCAACAAAAAAGATTTAAATTTCCCATATAAAGTAGACAATATAATAATGCATTGAGTCTGCAGTGTACTACCTTGTACAGAATGAGTCTTAAAATGTGTGTTTTTTCTAGCTTAGTTTCTCATTCACTGGGCTTACAAATAGGGATGTAAATCATGTTTAATTGATTAACAGGGAAGGTGGGAGGGCCATTCCAGCTTGGCTGACCTGCAGCACCTTCCACTGTGGCCAGGCTGGAACACACATCCCCCTGCTGTGGACAGGGGCTACTCCAGCCAGGCTGGGGCACCCCTGCCCTCAGCAGGCCCCACAGGGCTGGAGCACCTTTAATGAGTGAGGTTTATCGGTTAATCATTCGCATCCCTACTTACAGAAGTTAGCAGTGATGTTGAGGCAATACCTTCAGGTCTTGAAGAACAAATACAATATAGCAAAATGTATTATTTGTCACATGTTTTGGGCCAAAATACAACATACCTTTTAAAACTATGTAGTGGAGAGAGTACTTTAGATCTAAATATCTGTGTTTTATTAAGTCCACAAACGTATAGAAAAAACATGAAGGCATTATTTATATTGAACCTGTTTGAAGTGTTCTGTTCAATCATCCAGAAGAGAGAACACAAGATAACTAGCAAATCTTGTTGCCAGAACTGAGATAGTAGCATTGTTAATACTGGATCTAAATCAGGAAAGTAGATTATTAGAAAGTCTGTTCTGTGTTTTCTAATTAACGTAGGGTGAAAAGTAAGATTTAATAAAAGGTAAAGGACATAATTGGAGTAGGGAGAAAAATGTGTTGAGTTTCAAAAAAGTATTGTAAATGAACAGAAAAACCTGCAAATAAAACTGCACTATGTTTATATCTATTTATAGCAGACTTGTTATAAACATATTTATAGTGTTAAACTACCTACTGGAAGGTGCTAGCTTGACTTCTATAAACATGAGACATTTACAGCAACACACCGACTTACGACCATCTGTACTTATGACCAATCTCCCATTAACCCCATTATAATATTTTCGACTTGAGAACCATGTACGTCAAGTTTTTCAAACAGCGTGTTTCTGACTTATGACCAAATCGAGATACAACCAGCTGTTCAGAACGTAACTCGTTGATAAGTTGGGGACTGCCTGTATTTTGTCATTTTCAACACCTATGTGACGCTGTGGGCATGTTACAATTTAAGCTGGATAATTATTTTTTTAAAATTTGTGGTGAACCTAAAAAACACAGTCTCTGTTAATATTTTTGACTGTCTGCTTCCTAAATTCATTTGCATTAATGAGCAGCAAGTCTCTGTCCCCATAAGACTTATTTTCCACAGCTAACTTTCTCTGTTTTAAGTGGCCACCAGTGAAAAGCATTTTTGGGCATAGAAATAAGTACACTTTCTCTTTATTTGTAAGTTGCAAGGAGAGCAGTTCCAGAACCTCCTGGCTGGGGCTGGGATTCAGCATGTAAGTGCAGTAGCACTGGATCCTAACAGAGACATTAGCTAACATCTCTGTGTTAACTGTTGACCACAGGTTTTGCTATATTAATATAGTCAGCTATCAATGTTTCTGCTGATATCATAATGTGAGCTGATTAGTAAAACTAAGGGATGACAGGGTGAATTTAAGAGGTTCTGTCACACTTAAATTGACAACATGATCCCTTAACAGTGACGTTCCAGCACATATATGTATCCTGGCTTTTATTTCTCAAATAAAATCTCAGTATTTTAAGAAACTCGTAAGTAATCCCTATGGTTGTTCTAGGACATGAAACTTCCTCTCTTTAAGGAGCACCATACTGGAAATATTCAGTTTGATGGTGCGATTGACTAAATATCAAGGGCTCTGTAGCAGCTTGATTGCAGTTTTATGCAACATCCTCTAATTAATCTTGTATTGCAATCTTGTTAAATCTTGAGTTTTACATTGATTACCCTTTAAAAATGGTACACTGAAGTATTATAATCTATAATGTCCTCCTTCCCACACACACAAATGGCTGTAAAAATCAAGACATGAATAGAACACTACTTTTTGTGTGGAAGGATACTGAGAGTGCACTGGAATCGTATACTTTGGAGAGAGAAGGAAAGTTTAGTTTGTTACAACAAGAATCTTTTCCTCTTTAGACAGCTAAGATTATAGGATTTGGCGAAACTTAAACCAAAAAATCCCATAAAATCAGTTGAAAACTGTTAATGTTGTATCTTAAAGGCAGTTTTGATCTTGGATGTTCAAATTAGATTTGGAAAACTTACATTTAATGAACTTTAACATTTAGAGAGCTGGAACTTGGGCAATCGCAAGTTGGGGGCCTCCTATATAAGTTCATGAAATTCACCCTATTTCTCGATGTAAAGAGATAGATGCACAGACTCTTTGCCTCTCCCCCAGTAACAATTGTTTACACTGTGTTTATAGATAAACTAAAGCGATCTATTAAGTATAAAAAGGTAGGATTTAAGTGATAAGAAATAGCACACAGAACAATGTTGGTTACTAAACAAAATAAAACGGAGCATGCAAGCTTTATACACTAAGAAACTGGTTACATATAGTATCTTACCCTCAAAATTGTTCAAATAAACTTCTTTCAGAGACCGGAAAGCCTTTCTGCCTGGGTTCAATCCTTCCCTCAATTCAGTCTTAGATGTTCCAGGCAGTCATTTTGGGTGGAATCCCAGGGGAGAACTGATCAAGATTACCTCACTTCCCACACTTAAATGGGTTTTAGAAAAGGGAGAAATCATTTGCTGCTTTGTTTAAACTTTCCTACTGTTCCAGTGAGGGAAAAATACAGCATACAATATAAATCCCAGCATCAGGTGACAGGGCCATGCCTTGATGGGAGCCACCATAGCCCTTTCTCCCTGGCTTCCAGGGAAAACAAATCTATTCACAAATCATTGTTCTGAGTATTGGGCCATTAAGTTCCTTGAGTATTACTAATAGCCCTCACTTAGCATGATCACATCAGTAGCACAGGTTTATACTTCATAGTTCTATCTTCAAATACAGGAATGATACATGCATACGGATGGGATAATTATATTCAGTAGATTAGAACCATTCCAATAATATCTCACATGAAGTATCTTACATAGACATAGTTCTGTTATGTCATATTCCTAAGTATATTTGCATAAAGAATATTAAATACCCCATCACAAGAAATTCCTTAATTCCTTAATTCCGTAATAAATGGGTGAGAGAAATCCTCACCTGCGCCAGTTCTATAAAACTAAATGAGTTAAACTGAAAATAGAAGTGTGGTATAATTCCAAATTTATCCTCTACATCAGTTTATGGATGGCGACAATTTCTCTCATTGACATAGTGTTTCAATATAGCAATTTTTATTTCCTGCTTAATCACTGTAATAATTGGCTGTGCGTGCAATTTAAATTTTTTGTTGGATAGAGAATGTTAAATGTGTATGATAATTAGTACATATTGCATTAGTATACAATGGGTAAAGGGGTTTTGTGAGTGTCCTACTACATACAAATTTAAAAGTATAATATAAAAAGGGCATTTAAATTGTGCATTTCTACTGTACTTGCGAAACTGAATTTGTGTAAGATTCTTTTATCTCCACAGTATTTAAAGCCTTTTATAATGGGAGGAGGAAAAAATCTATAATCTCTGCAGAGTTCTATTTCAAATGTACTTTCCTTTAATATTGAACAAGATAGTTGGATATTAGTAATTATTTACTTCAGTGTTTAACTTTTCTAAGAACCTCTTAAGACACCAAAAACCTAAATTTCATATTACTTCTGCCTTACATGTTCTTAATTTTTAAGGCAGCAAGTGAAAAAATTACACTCAAACTGGTTGTGAGATATGAAGGTTCAAATTCTGCTCTGTGTTATCAGTGTATTATCTTTAGTAACACCGCTTGAATTCTATGGAGCGATTTTAGAAGTGTATATGAAAGCAGAATTTGGTACATGCTGCATTAGAGCCCAGCATTTATATTTATTTATATTTATATTTATATTTATATTTTATGGACCTATTACTAGCTCAATTTACATATGCCAGTAAACTATTTGCTATATTTCTGTGATGCTATTAACTAAAATGGTTGGGTAAACTAGAGAACAACTTGTGCAGCCAGAACTTCCAAATGTTTTTAGCGATTTATCATTAAGGAAGGAACATATATGGTCATTTGAAATCAAGTAATTTTTAATAACTTTTTATTGAAGGGGTAGCAATTTTATAGCCTCGCTAGTCATTTGTTTGACGTCATGTTGGCGTCTCCGACGATCAGTTTTTCTTTTTTCAGGGCATCCGAGTCAGAGCATTAATCCTGATCAACCCTCACAATCCGTTAGGGGACATTTACCCAGCACAGTTACTGAAAGAATGTCTAGAGTTTGCGCACAGGTTTGAGTCCTAGCGCTATTTGTTTGGGATTTAATTTCCATGATACAATATGCTAGTTATAAAAATTACCATTGGTAATCTTATTTTGTTTTATTGGGCATATGACCTGTGGGAGGGGCGGTTCCTTGTAGAGTTTATTATCCCATAGCTATCCTTTCTGGGGAAAACTATAAGCAAACTTACTTAAAATGGGTTCTAAGATGCTATTTCTGAATAAATAGCCCTATGCTGAGAGTTAGCTTTTTGTGCAACTAAACAAAAAGCTTTCTTGTATGCATAGCATTGTTTCTATGTTTCATGCATGTCAGAAAATGAAAATTGGTAATTATCAGTGTTTTTGGCAGCAAGAGTGTATAATATGAATTTGAAAAATTACCAAAATAACAGTGTAAAATTGGCATTGTGAAAAAGATATACAATTGGATAGGGAAGGTTCAAAGTATTAAGGCAGGGTTTCCCAACCTATGGGTCTGGACCCAAATATGGGTCACCATTACATTTCAAAAGGGTCGCCAGGTGTCTCCCCAGGTGGCTCTTAAGGAGCCATTCATACATTTTTTTTTTAATTGCCCTGGGTCAACAAGTCTTCCTGAATTGTCAAAAAGGGTCCCCATCTGGAAAAGGTTGGGAACCGTTGTTTAAGGCATCCTCTCAATTGACATAGTTTAGGATTTATAAGTCAATTCACTCTTCCTCAGATAAGGAAGACCCCAAAAAAAGAGAATCTCCTCTCTTCTGCCTTTCATCTTCCTTTGGCTTGGAGTTCATAGTCTAAAATCTAACAATCTCCTGAAGCTTAGCTGGGGGAACATTTGCTACATTTAGCCTTTGCAATTTTGTCTGCATTCAAATTAATTCTAATGTCATTGGGAGTTTTGCCAAATAAGGACTGCAAAATTTGGCCTTATGCTATTAGTTTCTAGAACAACAGCAGATTTCTGATAATCTAAAGTATAATAGGTTGGTATGCATTGATCAGTTCATACAAAAAAATCATGTTTTTTAATTATTTTTATTTTTGGATCAAATTAACGTTAAAAAAATCTGTATAACTTCTGATGATCTAGTTTTCTTTACATGGAAACAATTGTGGCAATTAGAGTTCTCAGAATTCTAATAAATTGTCAAAGCTGAATACTGCAAATGTATATTTTTTGCAGCAGGACCCACAGACTTCAGGATGCAACACTCTTCTAAAGTTAGGAGTAAAACAACATTTTGGAAGGGAGAAAAGATTCCCTTGGCGGGAAAAGCCTCAAAGTTTCAAACAGAATAATTCTGAAACTGAATTTTCTTTAATTATAAAAAGAAAGGGTTCTTTTATACTGGAATACCTGCACTGCCATTGGTTCTATGTTTCTGAACAGACTCAATGCATGCTGGTGTCAAGTATAATCACACAATTTGCTGTGTATTTGTGCTTTAACTTTGGAACTGTAATAGGGAATCTATATTAAATAAAACTCACCATGAACTTATCTAACAGAACTGCACTCAGGTTCATGTTTTGTTGCAATAAGTTCTGCATGGCAAACTACAACGTATTGCTGCATTTGGTGTTTTAGTTTTTAAATAATTGGTTATGGGGTAGTTTATCCGTCCAACAGACACAATCTTGGCATTCAGACATACTTGCATTTACTTCTGCGGGGGAGTACAGATTATAATAAAAATTTAATTTTGGTAATATGTAAATGATTAAACTGAACCTTGTAATCTTAAATAAGAATTGACTTTTTGAGTAAAACTTCTTCTGGGGTGAGTATAATGACAAATAGAGAATATTGTGGTAATTTATACATGGACATTTGTTAAAGCTTTGACTTTTAAATACTTTAACATATTTATTTATTTTTATACATAGATATCAATTGCATGTAATATTAGATGAAATATATATGCTGTCTGTGTATGATGATACCACCTTCACCAGTGTTCTTAGCTTAGATTGGTAAGTGTTGTAGCTTTCTACTACTATAATGCCAAATAGAATGTATGCTATCTGTTCAGGTTTTTGGGTGGCTAATCTTTGTATCTGTACCTTTATAATGGAAACTGGTTAATTTTAATGCCTTATTATGAGTACCTTCAAGACAGATTATTTGCTTGCAACTAATGCAGATGCATCAGCATCATGGGCGATTGGTGAAGGTAGGGCTGGGGGAGGCAAGCCCCGAGTCTTACCTCCAGCCCCGCTCCTTCTGCTGCAGTCCCGCCCCCATGGGAGAGCACTGTGTGGCCCTGATCCTGGAGCATCGGGGAGGAAAGAGGGTGCATGTCACAGCCCCAGACTTGCCAGCCCTGGAGCAGGCATTCTGGGGGTGAAATGTGGGCGGGGCCATAGCTGGCGGTTTGGGAGGGCAACGCCCATGGTCAGCATGCTTATCAGGAATCAGGAGATGAGTTTTTCTTCCTATTTGCTTCATTTTCTCCAGCGGTGATTGTTGCCATACAAGCTTTTAAGTTTTTAATTTGAATGTTTATAATCCTTAATGGACTATTTCTGAGTTCTAATATGTCAGAAGTCCTGCAAGTTATTTACTGTATTACATCTCCCTTTGGAATTAGATATTTTGGAGATTTTGGGTTTCCTGGGGCATGTGAGGTATATTTCCTTAGAACAGAGAGGTAATTTGGCAACTTAAGCATTTTCCCAAAATACAGAATGTTCATTTTTGCTGAAATGCTCCTCATGCAGTCGCAATTCTCCAGGTCAATGCAAATGTGCCTAGCGCAGTGAACATCTGGCTGTTCTCCTAAAAGACCTAGGAAAAATAGGGTAAGAGAAGTTTTTGAGTACAGAATGAAGTCTTAGGTAATTTTTTTAAGAGCCTTTTCTTTCTGTGCAAATTCATCCCAGTATTATAGGACAGAACGATACAATCATCAACCCTACCCTGAGTTGCTAATCAAGGTATGCAGTGAGCAGTGGATGGATTCCTCTGCTCTGCATTCTTCTTCTTTTGGAGACTGTGGCTCAATGGAGCCACATTGTGTCAGAACATGCCCTAAATAGGTCCCTTTCTCCATGTCAGTGAGTTGATATGCAGGGTCATCATGGAGCTTAGAACACGAAGTGCAGGAGGCATAAAGGGCCCCTTTCTGGATTTTGAGTCATTTATAGAAACACTTCAGAATTTTTGTAGCTACAAGATATAAATATTTTGCAGTAACGATCTCTTATTAATTATAATATTGAAAGTTATGTTAACACAAAGTAGTAGTTGCATCTGTAAAAGTTTTGTTCTGTTTTGCTCCCTCCCCAGTTTACCAGATCCAGAACGGACACATTTTATGTGGGGTTTTAGCAAGGTAGGTCTGGAATGTTTATTATATCTGAGTTTAATTTTCTCTCTAAAACAACTTAGAATATAACTATCATCTTTTAAAAGAACAGCTTACTGCCAGTTTGAACATTAGGACACAGTTTTGCCAGTTTACAATGAAAAATTAATGGAAAGTCTTTTTAGTGCTTGTGAAGAACAGCACGAGCACTTTGTCAACATTTTGCTAGTAGGAAAAATTGCAGAAAGTTAGTATTTTAGAGCACGTTGGGGAAGTTATATTTAACCTCCCTCCCAAGGATGTGCAGTCTACTTGTGGTATCTTTCATCTGTAGTTTTCCACCTCCTCTGTCTTCTAAAAGAGAAACCAAAGTAAGTTTGGGTCACTGACAACAGCATTGTTTAATAGATAAAGCATGGGATTATGGGGCAGGAACACTTGATTTATAATCCTTACTCTGTCACTGATCTGCTGGGTAACTTTAGTGAAACTACTTTATCTCTGTCTTAGTCTTCCCCATAGATGCTAGAACTAGAGATGCTGCTGCACCTCTTGCCTTGAACTAGTCTCCTTCACATACAGATTTACAGTTTGGTTCAATGGCTCTCAGCACACCCACTCTACAAATTGTTCCAGAACTCCAGTCCTCTTGATCTCTAAAATGAAGATAATAGTCATGAACAGGGCTAGACAAACCCTGGCGAGAGCCATTTGCCAGCCCCGCACTGCGCATGCACAAGATTAGCACTGCGCATGCGCGAAGCGCCGGCGAATGGGGCTCATGGCACAACCGGCTGAAATCTACTCGCCACAGGCGAGTAGATTCAGCAATTTGTCGAGCCCTGGTCATGAACATAAAAATTATTAATTGTTCATCTAGTTAGTGAAAATAGTAGTAGAGGCATTTAAGAATCCTATATGTCTTGGTACAGTTTCAGGGCTAGATGGGCTTATCACATTGGGATAAAATTAGCTAACATGAACACTTAGACATAGTTTGCCCTCATGGTTGGAAGTGCCCAGTATAGTCATATATATATATATATATCTTGTAGCAACAGGCCCTTCATTTTTAAAAAAATGTACGCATACTGAAAAAGCTACTGATCCAGTTCCATAAGAATGCTAGAAAATGTGTGTAATGATTAAATACTAAATTACTGAATAGCAAATTAAACAACAAAATGTGAAGGCTTTACTCTTCCCTCTTGCTTAATTTCTTGGAGATAGGATGCACTTTTCGAATAGGAACTTGTGGTACTTTTGATAGATGTAAAATATAGCATTTTAAAACATTTATAGAACTCTGAATTCTTGTTTAAACACTCAAAATCAGCAAAAAAGTGCCAGCATCACAGTTGTACATGCAACTTTAACTCTCCCCACTTGGAAACACATTTGTGATAGTCCTTAATTACATGAACACATGTCATTTGTCAGACACAGTATAACATCATTCTGTAATTTTTCTACAACCTCAGACCAGTGATCTTCTATAATTACTGGGATCTGAGGCTCTGGATTTGACTAACTGCTGATAGTTAAGGCATGCAAAATATATTTAATTTGCAAAAATCCCATAAACTACATGGGGTTTTTACTGTGAAATTATATGAATCAGAAGTAACTGACCATAAAACAAAAAGTTCAAGTATCAAGGCACAATCATTTCAGATAATTGTGGAACTCCATAGCTTACCATTTACTCAAGTTTATTTTTGTGCAGAGATGCACAGTTCTGTGGGGAACAATGCAACAGTTGGTCTGTTAGTAAAAGGAGTTGTTAGTAGCTTCATGCTTCCAGCTGTAAACTCAGATTTATTTGGAGTTTTGTTGCAGGAGACAGTGAGGTAAAACTACTATATTGATTTCAATAGGAGCTTAACCTAAGAAGGAACTGTAGGGCTGGGTTCATAAGATTAAAAAAATAAACAAACATAACTTTTTCCATCAATACTTCACAAAGGTAGGTAAATATAATTATCCCTATCATTCAGGTGGGAAATCTGAAGCAGATTAAGTGAGGTGCTCTTTAGTGACAGATCTAAAAAAAAGCCACA